TTGGTGAAATGTCTAATCACATGTCTCTCATCAAATAGACCCACCTTCTATTGTCCTACTAGTTTAAGATCCTCAAAAGCTTTTTGAATAATATTTATTTTGGAATGCCCCAACTGAAATTTCCCATTAAAGGTGAATTGCATCTTTCTGCCAGAGTAGAAACTTTAAGTTCTAAGAATAGGAGAGTTGTTTTACAACCCTTCCTACAAGCCTTCTTAACAAATGAACAACCCCATTTCTTTTCAAGAGAGTCATGGTAAAGCTGAGGTAACACCATATGCTTGGCAGACTCCACATAATCCAAACCCTTTCCAAGCACATCAACAAAGGACGCTTTGCCCCGGTACTCATTCAAGGGAGTAGGAAGAGCAGCAGCCATAGAAGTAGGGACACAAGAAAACAAGAAGAAAAATCGAAAAGTAAGGCCTGAGAAACGACAACAACAACAAAAAAATAACCGCATAATATCAAGTAATTCACCTAAAGTCGCGAAAACACCAAGAAAATCACAGTGAAAAACTCCGTCGAACCCAACTAGGCTAATCACCATGGAGGCACCGAGAAGGAAAGAAATCCTAGCATAGCATACATCATTTTTTTATAAAATTAGTCAGCATAATTTTTTCGAACACACACTTCGATAAATTAAAAAAAAAAAAACAACCAAAATTTTTAAGTGGAAAAATACTTGAAAAAATATCACAAAATTTAACATAGTCAAAGTAATTCATTAGTAATTTAAAAGTTTGTTTGTTCATTCTTCTCCTAAACTAGAGATTAGAATTACAAAATTATGTTGAAATCACAAATAACTTAAAACAACCTGACAAATATAATCGTATAGTAGTAGTTTGGACTATAACAACTATAGTTGGTGGCTATAATCACACGCTTGGTTGCCTAAAAGGGTCGTATTTAGGCTACAATAATTGTAGTTGTACGCTGCAATATTCTTAGGTAGCTACAAAAGCTTTGGTTAGTGGCTACAACTGTTGTAGATGGCTGCAACAGTTACTATTGGTGATTAACAGTGGCTAGTGGACGTTTATCTACACTTCTTTTTAAGAGTAATGCTTTAATTATCAACTAACTCCTCTCTTTTTCTCCCCTACAAGTGAATATTGGTGGGCTATTTCATAGGTTTTTAGAGGGGTATTTTAGTAAACTCGGTGAGAATATCAAAACACTCTATCTGGTGGTCCACATTCAATCCCCTCATCGCATGTTATTTTTTCAACATTTAAGTGTCTTCCCAATCTAAATATTAAATGATATTGGCTCGATAGATTCCTCTCATCGAGCTGCTCAATTTGACTATCAATATGTCTAATTTTTAGATCACTTAAACATTTCAATTAATACACCAAAACTTTTGACTATACTTCAAATGTTTGATTTGGGTTTATTTGTATTCAAATTAGATCGCTTTTAGAGTCATTAAGTTTATACTGTTTCGATGCTCTGTTTAGTTATAAATTTGACGAATTCGGAGTTTAGATGACATTGAATTTGAATTTGAATTATATCCTATCCAAATCGCAAAGAGTTTTGTGCACTACTATATAAATTTCTTGGTGACATATCAACATACACACCTCTTAATTATTATATTTAAATATCTAACGTATAAACTTTAATTTCTTATATACCTAGGCATGCATAAAAGTATTTATTTCACTTTTTAAAAGTTAAAATATATATTTTTTTGGTGATATAAGAAAATTGTGTGGTATAAATGTAAATATATTGATAACATACATAGGCTATTTCATTTCGATCAGGCTTGAACTTACCATTTATTTTTCCTTCTCACAAAAATAAATAAATTAATTAAAATTAAAATTAAACAAAAAATGGAGATTTTACATACCTAGCACACAATTCTTTCGTATTTACATATCTAACACCTAAAATTTCATATTTATATATATAACACATTGGTGCTTTAAACTTATGCCAAAAAGTGAATTTTATCTTTAAAAAGCGATAATAATATAATCTTTTATGCCATACAAACGATTTGAGTGCTATGTGCTTATCTAAATATGAAAGTCTATGTATGATATATACATACATTAGAATTATGTGCAATATATGTACGTAAATTCCACAATAAATAAATAAATAAATAAATAAATAAATAAATGATCAAATAAAGTGCAAGTTTGGCCATATTACTGTGTATAGCACATATTGAAAGCATATATGGTAAGAATATTTAATTTCATGATGCCAAAAGTTGGCTATGTAGTTCAGTATAAAGTTATGTTATAAAAAATCCATATAATAATTAAATGTAATTAATATTCTCCTGACAATGTTGTCAGCTTGCAAAGTTATTATTAATTACTGGTAATAACTAACAAGTGTAGGCTTTTAATGTAAGTTTATACAGTTCATATAAAACCATAAGATGAGCGATTACATGAGCAATAGAGTTAATCCCTGCAGAACTTGCAATTAATTTTCATTATATGATGATGCATGTAAAGATTGGCATCATGGCGATCATTGTGCTGTGCAGGGCAATAATTTAGCTTAAAGATCGTTAATCATTTGAAAATTGATTTGAGTTTTAATTGGGATGGAACTAATGAGCCGAACCAAAACTTTTCTTTGAATATTTTTTGAGTCATACACGGATTGATTTGAATTGGCTTAAAATACTTCAAGCTGAAATCAGCTCGAGGTCCAAAGTTTTGGCTTTAGGCCTATTCAAAATATTTTCAAAATTGAGCTCAAGAACAGTTCAAAATCGAATCTAACAAATAACGGGCCAATTTCAAGCTAGAATTGGTCCAAAGTGCTCGATTTGATTCATCTTGTTTCGATTTTGAGTTGGATCAGCTGATTTTGAGCTTAAACGGATGCAAATAACTCAAATTTGAGTCAACTCATTTTGGTTTCAGGCAGGATCAAGCTTGATTCAATTTTGAGTTGAGCTAGCTTGGAATCGAACATAATGAACCATAAGCCGATTTCTAGGGCTGTCAAAATGGTTCATTGTTCGCGAACAACCCATGTTTGGCTAGATATGTAGCTCGTTGTTCGCTTGTGTTCGGCTTATTTTTGCTCACTTTTGAGTTATTTTGTTTAGATTGGAGTTGCCAACCCTTGATTATCTTGCTGATAGCTTCTATCCAGGGTTTGTTCTATGCACATTGGTGCTCGGTTGCTTATTGAAATTCTTCAAAATGGATTATTAAAGTCTGAAACAAAACACTTCTAACACAGTAACACATGTATCTAGTTCTAATTTTTTATATATGTTTTATCACAAGTTTGATTGGTTGTTTAGTTCATAGCAACGACAAAATTAGTTTTTTGATTGGTTAGATCATTTTGAAATGAGTTCCTAAGATTGCACCGCGAGTTAGTCTAACCTAATCGAGCTTTTCTTTTATTTATTTTTCTTAAGAGTTAACAAAATTCTTTGTTTTTAATTATGACACGAGATATCAGAGATTTTGCTTGTGATGTGTATGCAAGATCAAAAGTTTGAACTTTCAAAAAATGATCTTGATGAAATGTGAAACTTTCAGGAAATGCAAGAGGCCAAAATAAATATTTTAGAATTGGTTTGTAATTATTTTATTTTATTTTAGACTTTTAGTGTCGAGAAGAATTTTTTTTTTTTTTTTTTTTTTTTTTTGTATTTCACTTTTTTTTAAGTTAAAACAATGATTTTTTTTATGTGATTAAGATGGCAAATATGTGAAAAGCTAAGTTTAGTTGTCATATATGTAAATATACAGAAAATGTGAGTTATGTATGCAAATGCCCATATATCGTAAGCTATCAAAATAAAACAAAAGAAATATAAACAAAAAAAAGGGGAGGAAATGAATGGAACTTTGAACATTATAAATTAAAATGTATAAACTTTAAATAAACTGAAAAAAAAAAAGCAAGTAAACCGGTTGAAAGATTTGATAATACATTTTAGAGCTTTGAGCTGCTCCAATGGGGTTAGTTAGGTTGCGACCAGATGATGACGATTCAACGACAACGACAATGATACAACAATCACAGTTGAATCATTAACATCAACATGATATTGGTGGTCCAAATATAGGTATTATGGCCAAGTGGTGACAACTCGATAATAGTGGTTTGATAACGGCGATTACCATATAAAAGTGGCAACAACGTTGTCGTGGATCAAGCAAGGTTGGTCCGACGGTGATGTAGTACCGCAATGGCAGTGATATATTGTGATGGTGATAGTGGTGGATAAATGACAAGGATTTGATGACATTTGTTGGGCCACAATGATTCGACAATGTGTATAATAAGTGATGATGGCAGCAACAATGCCTTTAACGGTGGTTCGACGACATCAATAGCGATATCATGATGAAGGTGATGGTCTGACAATGGTGGAGTGGTCAGTTGGACGAAGATGAGCAAACAATGACGGCGATAACATTATTGTCAGCTGGGCGAAGGTGGTTTGATGGTGGTGAAGACTAAGCGGCAATGGTATTGGAAAGTGGCATCATTCATAAATATAGAATGAATCTAAACCATTTCATCGAACAATCTTGAGTGATTCACTTAATCAGAAGATATTTTATGAGTACTTGACTGCTTTCATGTTGTCTAAATATTAGATATTTTGTAATATAAATTTATACTTAAGTGCCATAAAATTATTCAAGAAAATATATATTTCACTTTTAAATAGTATTATAGCAATATTTTTTTTTTAATTTGATATTAAAAGCATGAGTCTAATGATTGTTAGTATGAAAAATTGAATGTCATATTGTAAATACATAGAATGGTGTGATTTATATGTAAATGCGCCTTATTTTAGTTGCACGTCAAAAGATATTTTAACTTGTGTGGCGCCGTCGATATGTCGGGAACTGAAATCCACTCTCTTATCTCCTCCCAGACCCTATTTCCCGACATCGCCGGCGATGCACCCACGCATCCACAACTGTGGCGCCGCAGACGCTGC